GGGTGCTGTTATTCAACAAACCCTGGCAACAAACTCACCATGACACCCTATCTTACACGCCAGAGTTACAAAATGGGTTGATCCAAGGGATAAAATATCAGAGCACAAGTTCTCCCACAAACCAAACTGTAGAGTTAAACTACCCCAAATCTCAAATTACCAGAACTTTTGTTTGATGCATCAGTGTTTGCTTTTCTTTTATCTCCAAATATGTTCATGTGTTCACTTCCAAAACATACACACATACACACACACAATCACACACATATGTGAGATTTGTTTTCCTTTATAGAAACTGGGCACTCTCTCCTTTTCAGTGCACAAACTACAGATCCTAATGTCTTTCAAGACACATCCTGATAAACCCCTTGAAATGTTGAACATCTCCTCAGTCTGTAGCATTTTATATAATGAACCCACCCTACCATAGCTGGGCAACAAACATGATGAACATGTGTTGGATCATAGAGGTACCTGTGGTTCAGTCTTGTGACCACTGGGATCTGTGCTCAGATTGGCTAAACTGGGAAAAGATTAAGATTCCAAATTTAGCTGGGTGCCAGTTGCTCAAGCCTGTAACCCTAGCTGATCAGGAGGCTGAGGTCTGTAGATCACAATCCTAAACTAGCCAGTCAGGAGAGGTCACGTGACTCTTATCTCCAATTAACCACCAAAAAGCTGGAAATGGAGCCGTGAGCTCAAGTGGTAAGAGTGCCATCCATAAGCAAGAAAGTTAAGCAAGAATGCAAGGCTCTGAGTTCAAGCCTCAGCATGTACACGTGTGCACACACTCCCACAAAACAGGGAAAAATAGCTTCAGTATTTGGGATCTGTGTAGGAAAAATACAGGCTGGCTAAAATGGTGAAAGGAAATGTGAAAACATTGTGGATAAATGTCAGGCTTACACAAGCAAGGGAAAAAAACCATTTTGTGGTTTTGCTTTGGCAACTTATTTCTTAATATTCCTGTACACAAGACTGTTTCTTTCAGGACCTATTACTGCAGCTTCTGTCCTTGGCAGGCTGGTTCACAGCCTCTGCTTACTCTTCCTTCTTGCCCTCAGCATACTTTAACACGTAAACATTTAAAGAAATGCTTCAGTAAAAGAAACGAATTTACAAAGGACACCAGGCCTTTCCTGTCAGTGCATTCTTTGACTGAAACCGAACTTACTGCTTCTCCAAAGCAATGAAGGTGTGAGTTGTGTTTGTGATGGGGATGGGCAGGAGGGAAGAAAGGCGAGGCCTGTTTCTCAAAGAGCTTGGGCTTCCATTTGTTTATGTTCATATTTAATAACTCCAGTATTTACACAGCTGAAGAAAAGGAAAGCACCCTGAGAACAGACACCAGGAAGCCCTCTAAAGTGGTGAACCAGAAACAAACATGAGTTGGAAAGTTCACAAGTGCTATAAATACAAAGTACCCTAGGGCCAGGTGCTAGTAGCTCTCACCTATAATCCTAGCTTCTCAGGAGGCTGAGATCTGAGGATTGAGGCTCAAAGCCAGCATGGGCAGGAAAGTGTCTGAAACTCTTATCTCCAATTATAGGAAAAAGGCAGGAGTAGAGCTGTTACTCACATGGGTACAGCACTAGACTTGAGTACAAAAGCTCAAGAATGACACCCAGGTCCTGAGTGTAAAGCTTCTAGACCAGCACCAAACAAAACAACAAATGAACAAAAAGTACCTCAGCCAAAAGAAACTGTCCTTTAGGTTCCAAAGGAAATCAATAAGGAATAGATTATAATCATTATTCTAACAACGGTCAACTTTGCTTCTTTATTTTTTGTCATGTTAATATGAATACAGATCTTTCAGGGCAGTTTAGGAAAGTAGATTTCTCCACAATATAGTGAGAATTCAAAAGAAAGAAAAAAGTCGTTGGGTTGGACAGAACCAATTGATAAACCTATGCCTGCAATTTACAAGTTTGAAGCTTTGGGGCTTTTAACTTAATCTCACAGATTTTCCTCATCTGAGAGGAGAACCAAACAGGCCTAGCAAGTATTATCTCAGGGGTAATGATAATGCTTCTCATTTATGGTCTTATCGTATAAGAGGGCTGGCTGCTAACTCATCTGCCTTCCCTTTCTTCCCATGCTGGCCTTGGGAATGGTCTCCATAGCACTGGTCATTAGTTTCTTTCCTGGCTATGGCCAGATGAGGAGGTAGTTCTTTCCCTAGGCCAGACCCTTCTCAGTATAAGAAAAAAGAAACCATCAAAGACATAATAGATGTGTGCTGCCAATTAGGAACAGCAGAACTTTAAATTTAATCAAAGTACATGGTATGCATGCTTGGAAATATCCAAAAGAAATTCCTTTGTATAATTCATATATGCTAATGAAATTACCATGAGGAATGAAATGGCTTTTTTTTTTTTTTAAAGCTAACTAAAGCTCACCTTTCCTTGGACAGCCTGGCTGGAGGTAAGGTGTTTCTAGCACATTTGTTCTTTCCAGCAGGTCTTTCCTTCCAGTTAGTATGACAATCATCACTCACCACCAGTGTGGAAGCCGCCCTGTTTAGGTTTTGCATGCATCCATCTGGAACCAACCTTCAGAAATGTGTTGTGTACTTGGCCAGCACACAGTGGGTTTCCACATCCTGCCCCTCCCAGTCCTGCCCTAACCTCCAGCTAACCCACAACCACCCAATATAGACTGTAAATGGGACAGAGAGAAACACCTAAGTGAAAAACAAGTACTCCGTGAGAGGAAGATTAAGGTAGAACTTGTTTACCTGTTGGTTGAAATGTTCCTGTTTACCTGGGATGAATATGGCTGCTTTCCATGGGCCCCATGGTGTGGATTTTTAGGACGTAGTATGGCAGCAACCTTAGTTGACTTTTTTCCTTCTATTGTAGCAAATAGTAAAGGAGTTGCCAAAGGAACTGTAAGAAATTTCTAACATTGCTAAATGTAAAATATCCATGACTCCACATAAAGGAATACATAACTACATTTTACAGGTGAGAAAACTAGGAATTTAAAAGACCTGACTAACTGCATGTTACAGCTAATGCTAAAGCCAGGGGGAAAGGGCAATTGAAGGATCTTGAAAGGGAATTTGAATTCATTGGCTTTGGCCTAATTTCTTATTGGTTCCTAATGAATAATTCCAAAGCAAATGTTTCTTTAGAAGCATTTGCAAAAACTTAACTTAGGCCTATCGTGTTGTACAACCTTAAATGTCCAATTCTATTATTTAGCCCAGAGTCATGTAACCCATTTCAATCTCATTCAGTGCAACTCCTCCCATTAATGGTCACCATTATCTTATTTTCAAGTGACTATTCATTGATTTTAATCCCATCTCCTCACAAGTGTTTAACATAAACAAGAAAAGACTGGAGTTGTGACTCAGTGGGAAAGCAACTGCTCAGTAAACACAAGACTCTGAGTTCAAACCCCAGTAGTAAATATAAGGCTCTGAATTCAAACCTCAGTACTTCAAAAGTCATGCCAAACTGTAAATTCATTCTATAATTAATCCCTAATCTCTTATTCATTTACTCAATAGACATTGAGTGCTGACATATATCAGATACAACAGTAAATACTAAAGATTTAAAAAAAATTAGAAGCCAGGCGTCAGTGGCTCACGCCTGTAATCTAGCTACTCAGGAGGCTGAGCTCTGAGGATCACAGTTCAAAGCCAACTGGGATAAGAAAGACCATGAGACTCTTATCTTCAATAAACCACTCAGAAAACCGGAAGTGGCGCCGTGGCTCAAGTGGTAGCATGCTCATCTTGAGATGAAGAGCTGAGGGATAGCACCCAGGCCCAGAGTTCAAGTCCCATGACCAACCAAATAAAAACCCCTCAGAGTCCAAGCTCATATGAAGTTCCACATGTTAGGAAGATGGATACATCAGATAAATCAATGAGTAGGTAAATGATAGATAAACAATGTTGAAATGTTCCTGCAACAAAAAAATAAATGTTGTCTCCCGGAATCTATCACTTCCTTTTTTAGTAAGTTAATGTCTCAATTTTAATTGTCCACGAAGCCATCCAGGACAAATGACACCATTCCCAATCTCTCTTGAATTGTTATGTGGGGCTACATGACTAAGCTTTGCCCAAGGAGATATAAATAGAAGATGCCTGAACAACACCAAGGCATGTTCCGAAGAGGATCAAGGGTGCCTTGCTCATTACTTCTTTTTCCTACTGCCTAGGAATTAGATGGGTCGAGGAGTCTGTGTTTTAGGGACAATCGAGACAAAAATTAGAAGGTAAATGAGTCCCTGATAATTGGCTCAGTCATATCTTCCCCAGATTCTTTTCCTCTAGATTAGCTTACCTATAAGAGAGAGAAAAACTATCTTTTTAATGATTCCATTTGAAGAGGATTCTGCATTTTTATGGGTCTTACATATCAATTAGTACAAAAATATAAAGAAAAGTGAGTGAGGGAACTAGGGTAATATAGCAGACAGGAAGACTGGGAAACATTGCCTGAGGATTTAATATTTGAGCAGAGTCCAAAGTACATGAGAGAGTAAGCTACATGGTTAGAGATTATTCTAGAAAGTAAAAGAGAGAGCAAAGTTCCAGAGGAGGGAACATGCTTGTGTGTTCAAAGACCAGCACCTGGCTCAACATTCCCACCATTCCTTCATCCGAAAGCCTTGAAGAGAGAGGTCAGATTTGCACAAACTGTTCTCAGTGGGGATCTCTTCAAAAAGTCTGACCCAGTCAGGAGTCTCAGCGCTCCTACAGTTTCAAAGCCCACAACAGTCCATTTCAAATCACTTACCACACTTTATTATCCCACTCCTGCCCCTTTCCTATAAGCCTGGCGTAAGTTCTCACCCTTGCTTGGAGGGCTGGCTCCATCAATCCGTTCAGAACTCTTCTTCTCCTTTCTGAATCTCTATAGATATTATCATCAATATGATTGGATTTTGAAAAAAATCCATGATTGTGTTCTTGTTCATGTGTACATCTCTTGTCACCCTTACTGAGCATAAGAATTTTAAAATGTTTTTAAAATCCCTTTTGGTTAGTATCTCCTCAAATAGAAGGTGTTCAGTAAAACATGCCCAAATGAGCATGGATTTCATTCAACCTTCTCACAGACACAATGGAGGGAGCCTAATCTTTCCTGTTCCTCCCTTTCGCCAGGAAGATATGAGTAGCTGAAGTATGTGGTGCTATATATAGTCAGTTGATGTCAGCTGGATGCCAGTCTCTTCAGAAAGCCTCAGTCCTCTGTTTGAGCCAGAGCTAGGGACCATGCCGTCCCAAGTTCAAGGATAAAACCCATCCGGCCCTGGTGCCATCATATTCCATCTCCAGAGTCTTCCTCCACCATTGGGACTCCTCCCTGCTGAAAAGCAGACTAACAGCAAGGTGAGTATATTGTTTCTTACAATGTTTTATTGGTCAGTCATCCACAGAGGTTCAGAGTTGTGACTCATAAATGAACATTCTTTGCTTTAAGACACAGCTGTTGGTGCCAATAGTAAAATGTCACTACCAAAGAGTTCTGATTGAATGTGATGTGTTCTTTCCCTCATACAGTTTGCTGGAATTGCTGAACTGGGATGCTGGTAAATAGGAGCCAGGAAGGAAACAAAGGACAGATTAAAAATAAGCTGTGAAAAGGAGAAAGGGAAAAGAAAGGTGGCCAGCTTTTTCACTGTTTCTCTCTTGCAGCCTAATGGTCATTGTATTAATGTGCAAGCAACACTGGGTTTGCCACTCCGGTGTCATTCTCTGTTTATTGAGGCATGGCCTATCAATGAATAGCAATCCCTGTCACTAGCCAAGCAAGGCATGTTAAAGTCTTTCAGTGGAAAACAATAGTGATTCTTCATAAAGAATAAAGACATTCTTCTTCAAAAAGGATCATCATCAGACACCAAGTGAATTCTTCCCATAGCCTCAATAACATCCCCTTTATTTTTTACAGGGCACAAAAGCCATGCTATTACATAGCACCCTGGTGAAGCAGAGGAAGCAGCCAGGATCAGCCATCATGAAGGAAAGCCACAGAAATGGTATCCAGAAAAACCTGATAGCATTAACGTAGCCTGCATGGATACAGATCCCTCCCTGACGTCAATATTCTGTAGTTTCCTTCTTTCAGTCATAAGAAAGCTGGAGCTCTAGGGTGGTGCAGAAAAGTCTATGGTCACTAATCCTTTTGTAGTCCTCCTTTCTTATTTGAAAGCTATTTTCAGACAAACAACTGCTGTAAAAGGAATGAAGCAATTTGACAGCTGATGTACATTCTGTCTGGCTGGCCTTCCACATTATCAGTGAATATCACTCTCGTAACACTGAATTGCTTTGGTTATGGGATGAGTCTTGAACAAGCTTATCTTTCTTGTCTACTTCACATGCTTTTCAGCTTGATTTTATTTACTTTACAGTTCATAAAAATTTCCAAACATGTTCTATCACCCTGTTTTTGTTTTGTACAAAATCTGTTGATTAAATTGACTTTTATAGTCAATGCTTATTTGTTTCAGCCTGAAACCAGAATTTATATTTAGTGACTGATTTACTAATTTGTGTTGTGGGCAAAATCTACTTTTGTTTGTAATTTCTAAGGGAAATTGTCTTTAGAGTTTCAAAACATCCAAACTCCAAAAACTGAATGTATTTTAGAGACAAGATTATTATGATATGGTGAATTTTTTAAATTACCAAATAACCCTAGAAAACAATGCTTTCAACAGTCGCATTTTGACTGTTGAAAGGGAAATTCAATTTTGTTTATAAGCAAAGGGTAAAATTATTAGAGAAGTTTGAGTACAAGATCCTTTTCAGGTGGACCTGAACTATTCTAGATATTTCTGTAGAATTTTCTAGATGTCCCATTTCCCCTTTTTGACAAGGAAGTGGAGCTAATGATAACGTTGGGGTCTCTAGGCAGCATGGGTAGACCCTCTGGAAATGGTTGACTGTGGTGTTTGCAATGTTGCACCTTTCACCAAACAAACTGAACAGAATCAATGAGAGACTTCTATGCACTCTCCACAATCTGAAGGATCCTGTTGTTAAAATGTTTACTTTTTTTTTTTTTTTTGGGTCCGGTCGTGGGGCTTGAACTCTGGGCCTGGGCGCTGTCCCTCAGCTCTTCAGCTCAAGGCTAGGGCTCTACCACTTGAGCCACAGCGCCACTTCCAGCTTTTTTCTTTTTGCTTATGTCGTACTGAGGAATCGAACCCAGGACCTCATGCATGCAAGGCAAGCGCTCTACCACTGAGGCACCTTCCCAGCCCCTAAAATGTTTACTTAAAAAAAAATACAAAAATCATAGTCCTGGATTCACCTTATTACAATGTCAAATTAGTTTAGCATAAAATGAGAATAATTCTGAATTAGATGCCAGATCTTTACCAATCCTAAATGCCAAATTCCCAGGGTTTTTTTGTTCATTTGTTTTTGTTTTTAAATCACATGTATCTTTGTGGTTCCAGCTTCAGGTAATTTATTTGGACTTGTCTGTATAGTTTTCCTGGCCAACAAAGAAAAAAAAGAAATAATCACTTGAGATTTAGACTAAAATTATTTACCTTAAAACTAGTCTTAAGATAGTTACATGTGTGTGGGGGGGGGAGTGGATGTGTGTGTGTGTGTGTGTGTGTGTGTGTGTGTGTGTGTGTGTGTGTGTGTGTGCTGGTACTGGGGCTTGAACTCAGGATTTAGGTGCAGTCCTTGAGCTTTTATGCTCAAGGCCAGCACTCTATCATTTGATTTCAAACTTATCCTCAGATCTCAGTTTCCCGAGTAGCTAGGATTACAGGTGTGAACCACTAGGTTTCTGTTAATTTTTTAAATTGAATCAGAATAAAAAAAATCATTCAATCAATTTAACATAATCTGTCTAAGTCATATATCCATTAGAGTATATTGTTAGTTCTGCTGAGACCTACAAGGGTGAAAAAGTCTCTTTAAAAATTTTTATAAACATAACTTCAGAAACATTTAGGCTAAAAGAGAATGAAGTATAACAGTGTCCTCTAAATGTGAGGTGGAAATTTAGTTGTAAGGGGAAAAGGCTACAGAGGCTATAGTCTTTGAGCAGAATTTTAAGAAAACCCAGGAAGTAAAAAGGGAGAGCATTCTATCAGATCTCTCATTCCACCGGAAGGAGACAAAACCACAAAGAATCACTGAGAAATTCTGTCCCTAGAGCCTCACTGTGTGGAATATGTTGCAGAGAGGTAGAAAATTCCAAGCTTTGGTAAACTATACTCCAAAGTATTACTGGTATGGATCCTTTACAATTTGGTGATATATCAGAAGCAAATATATCACACACACAAAATTTAAAAAGAATTAAAAACATTAAAAAAAATCTTTAGCAGGTAGTAAAATTATAGGCTCATGCCTATAATTCTAGTTACTGAGGAGACTGAGATCTGAGGGCTGAAGTTCAAAGCCAGCCAGGACAGGAAAGTCCATGAGACTCTTATCTCCAATGAAGTGCCAAAATGGCCAGAAGTGGATCTACAGCTCAAGTGGTAGAGTGCTAGCCTTGAGCACAAAAGCAGAGGGACATTGGCCAGGCCCTGAGTTCAGCCCAGGACCACCAACACCATAAAAAAATTAAATGTTTTTAAGAATATCACCAAATCTATCTACTTGCAGAATAACCTTCTTATGACGATATTGTAACTCATCGTTATCATCATCTTACTGCAGTGGTAGAGCCAGTGGTGAAGCTGCCTTGAATTACTATGGTAACACAAATCTTGGCTTTGTATAAAAGCATCTCAGCCACAGTTGCTAGTATCTAACAACTGTTGTTTTCCAAGACATCCCAAGAAAGCATACTACCATCACCTGTGCACAAACTAGTTGTGGGGGACAAGAAATACTGGCCCATTAGAGTACCTCATCTATTAGCCCGGCTCAAGTTACCCTAAATCTCTATGTGTTTTCCAAGATTTAATCACATTCCACTCTCACTAAGTAACACACTTGAGACTTGAAGGCTAAGGTAGAGGAGTGGGGAAGGAGAAAAGGAGAACCTGTAATGAATTGACAGAGAAAGAAATAGAGCAAACAAATGCGTAAGGAGAGATACTCTGAAGCAATGGACATCTGGTTAGAAATGCTGATAAGGGAACTGGAATTAAAATAACTGTAAGCCAGCCAGGGAGTATTATGTTCCCTATCTTTACACACAGATATTGTTGGTAGATGAGAATAAGGAAGGAGACGAATACCTCAGAAGGCTGATTTCATACTATAGGATTTTTCACACTATAGGCCTTTGTTTTTGTTTCTAACCTGGGTTCCTTTCGGGCTGTTTTCCTCTTGGTATGTTTTTTGGTTCGCTTTTGTTTTTTTCCTCTGACTGGGAAAAAGCTTTCCCAAGCACACAGAGGAGAGCTAGGCAGATTATTTTTCTGTAATTTCAGGAAGAGAGGTTAGCTTTGTAGTCTAAAAACAGGAAGCCAGGTTCTGAACTGAACAGTGTTGTTGAAATGGTACCAGGAGCCCTGGTTCCAGACTAGGCCTCAGAGACCTTACCAAAAAGTGTAGAAGGCTAGACTTGCTAAGCAAAAGGTGTAGAAGGCTAGATTTGCTAAGCAAAAAGTGTAGAAGGCTCGATTTGCTTGTAGGACTAATTCTAAGATTCCACAATCCTGATTTACTGAGATCAGTACTGAAGGCAAACATTAGTATTTCTTCAGTAATAAAGGAAATGGTAATATTACCATAAATGACAAGGACATTTTGAGAAAGGAGAGAGTAGAAGACTTTAGAATCTGAGATGGAAGATTCTGTGAAGACTTCTGTGACCTTTCTTGCAAGTCAGATCTTCAGCATCAAAATGAGGCATTTCAGGCAGGTCTGATGTAAATCATATTTAAAAAAAAAAATCAGCGGATAGGTTTGTAAGGGTTATTTGGCTTAACTTTTTATACCAGCATTGTCATAATCACAAATGGGGGGAAAATAGAGCCCCAAAAGCTTTCATTTTTATTTTGATGTTATTTATTTTCATTTTTATTTTTGTCAGTCGTAGGGCTTGATCTCTGGGCCTGGGCGCTGTCCCTCAGCATTTCAGCTCAAGACAAGTGCTCTACCACTTGAGCTACAGTGCCACTTCTGGTTTTCTGGTAGTTAATTGGAGATAAGAGTCTCAAGGACTTTCCTGCCTGGACTGGGTTGAACTGTGATCCTCAGATCTCAGCCTCCTGAGTAGCTAGTATTACAGGCATGAGCCATGGGGGGCCCAGCTCATTTTTATTTTGAAAAAGCATATGATTATTTTTTACACATTTCCTACTTTCTTTATTTTGACTTATATCAAGTACTTCACAGATTTTCTGAGCATCTTACATTAACATGACCCTTCAGGAAACTAAAACCAGAAAACTAAACTGAATCATATTTTACACAAAAATTGAAATTGCAGTTTTTCATTCTAGACATACTAGCATCCTAGATGATATGTATGTATTTATTTATTTTGTTGTTGTTATTTTATACTGGTACTGGGGCTTGAACTCAGGGCCTGGGTGCTGTCTCTTAGAATTTCTTTCTTTTTTTTCTTTTCTTTTTTTTTTAATTTCTTTTATCTTATTTTTTGGCTGTAAGGCTTGAACTCTGGGCTTGGGTGCTGTCCCTGAGCTCTTCAGCTCAAGGCGAGTTACTCTACCACTTGAGCCAGAGCACCACTTCCAGTTTTCTGGTGGTTAATTGGAGATAATAGTGTCACAGACTTTCCTGACTGGGCTCGCTTTAAACTGTAATCCTCAGATCTGTCTCCTAAGTAGATAGGATTACAGGCGTGAGCCACTGGCACCTAGTCTCAGCATTTTTGCTCAAGATTGGAGCTCTACTTGAAACACAGCTCTACTTCTGGCTATTCACTAGCGCATTAGAGATAAGAGTCTCATGGACTTTCCTTTGCTTTGACTCTCTATCCTAAAATTTTAGTCTTTTTTTTTTTGTTGGTCCTGGGGCCTGATCTCTGGTTATGGGCACTGTCCCTCAGCTCTTCAGCTCAAGGCTAGCGCTCTACCACTTGAGCCACAGCATCACTTCGGGCTTTTTCTGCTTATGTGGTGCTGAGGAATCAAACTTAGGGCCTCATGCATGCAAGGCAAGCACTCTACCACTGAGCCACCTTCCCAGCCCAAAAATCTTAGTCTTTTGAGTAGATGGTATTATAAGAATGAGCCACTGGTGCTTGGCATCACCCAGTTTTTTTCTTTTTTCTTTTTTTTTTTTTTAATTTAATTTTATTTTATTTGAGAACATACTGTACAGAGGGGTTACAATTACATGGGCAGGATAATGCATACATTTCTTACCAAGCATTGCAGCCTCCTCCTTTGTTTACCCTTCACCTCCCTTCCCAGCCTCCCCCCTCCCTCCCACCCAATCATACCCCCCCTCCCCCCCCCCCCCGACATTGTAAAGCTGGTTTTGACATGACATTTTGTACTTCTCATTGTTGCAACAGGTCCACCTGAATCCTTAAACGACTTGTTTGTCCCCATCTCCTCCACATGTTATACTGACATCAAATATAGTGAAAGCGGGGGTTACACTGTGGGGGAGGGACATACAAAGCAACAAAGAGATAATATTATAAATGCGTTAGAAACACATGCATGAAAGAAACAAAAACATTAAAATACATATTTGAGGTTTCGTTTTCCTAACATCACATTATTTGACTTTTTCCGCTTGACTCATACCTATACTAGATATTGCAAATAAGGGAAACCATGGGACCTATGTTTCTTTGGGCCTGGCTTACTTCACTTAATATAATTTTTTCCAAGCCTTTCCATTTCCTAACAAATGGGGAAATGTCATTCTTTCTGATGGAGGCATAGAATTCCATTGTGTATATATACCACATCTTCTTGATCCATTCATCTACTGAGGGGCATCTGGGTTGGTTCCATGTCTTAGCTATGGTAAATAATGCTGCAATAAACATAGTTGTGCTGGTAGCTTTAGTGTGGCCTTGTTTGTGATCATTTGGGTAAATGCCCAAAAGTGGGATTGCTGGGTCATTGGGGAGCTCTATGTGGAGTCTTTTGAGGAACCTCCATACTGCTTTCCAAAGTGGTTGAACAAGTTTACATTCCCACCAACAATGAAGTAAGGTTCCTTTCTGTCCACATCCCCTCCAGCATCTGTTGTTGTTAGAGTTCTTGATTTTTGCTGTTCTAACTGGAGTGAGGTGATATCTCAATGTTGTTTTGATTTGCATTTCTTTTATGGCTAGGGATGTAGAACATTTCTTCATGTGTCTATTGGCCATCCTTCTTTCTTCTTCAGAGAAGCTTCTCTTTAAGTCTTTCGCCCACTTACTTATTGGGCAGTTGTTTCTTTGAGGATTTGTTGTTGGGTGGTTTAATTTTTTGAGTTCCAAGTATATTTTAGATATGAGACCCTTGTCCGTTGTATGGCTAGTAAAGATCTTCTCCCAGTCCGTGGGCTTTCTATTGATCTTGCTAGCTATGTCATTTGCCCTGCAGAAGCTCTGCAACCTTATACAATCCCATTTGTCCAGCCTTTCTTTGATTTGTTGTGTTTCCGGGTCTTTATTCAGAAAATTTCGGCCTGTGCCAAGGAGACCCAGGGTTTCTCCTATTCCATCCTGTAGTGTTTTCAGAGTGTCTGCTTTGAGTTCAAGGTCTTTGATCCATTTGGAGTTGATAGTTTTTTTCTTTAAAATAAAATGATGTTCTTTATATACTTTCTATAAGCAGCACTAGATATTCTATTTATATACTTTAATTTGTACAATTCAGTACATTGGCAATCTCATGTCTTGTATGTTCATAGATTTACAAAGTCTCATATTATTTTTATTCACGGCACATTTTAGAATACTTTATATTATAATTCAAACTGAGACAAAGATATTTGAAATAGGAAAGCAAAGAATCCCAGGTGGATTTTAAATCTTCTATTTAGAAAAAAGATCAATAGCCGTCTATTTTTGTCCATTATTAGAGACACAGTCTGAACAATGCTGGTTATGTTATATATGTAAAAATCACTAAAATATGTGTAATAACATATTACACATAATTTAAATATAATTTATATAAATATCAACACATAGGTTATATAATTGTATATTATATAATATATAAGCATATCATATAATACATGTATATTATATGTAATATATAAATTATGCACATTACATTTTAAAGGCATATGATTATTATTCTGACCACATGAGCCAACTGTTTGTTGACTTCTATGCAAGGGCACATAGAATCTCTTTGCTTCTGTAAGTTTCTAAATAAATCAATAAGCCCACCCTAAGGCCAAGAAACTGTAGCTAACTCCTCTTTGATGGCTTTATCCATTCTATCAGAGCTGCAGTTGGTACTCAGACATGGGGAAACAGTTTTAAAAATCTTCAGTCTTACTTCAATTATTTGTGAGTGAGTTAGGTTCACTCTGAATGACAGCAGTAGGAAAGTATGCTTAGCAATATTATTTTCAATAGATGATCTAATGTCACAAAGGCCTCTTTCTAAGCCACGAGGGCAAGGATGTGTACCCTGAATAAGACACATCATTTATCAAGTATCAAGATTAAACATACTATGTTTAAAGACCCTGTGCACGGGGCTTGTAGTGAAGGGCAGGGAACAGCTGAACTTGGAATCTATCTTCTCCATGGACATCATTCTTCACTGAAGTTTAAACAGTTAGAATGATCATATATTAGATTTCCAATTCACAAATGGTCTCGGAATTCCTGTTTTAGGGATATGATCTAATTTAACTTTTTAAAGGGAAGAGAAAGAAAACTTGGATAATTTATGTATTTTGTTGTTTGCTTATGCAAAGGATGTTGACTTACACAGTACTGACATTGATGGATGTGTCTAGTACAAGAGTAAATATTTAATAACTGATTCTCTGGAGAGAAAAATGCCTTGGCCTGTAGAGTCTCCCTATTTCTGTACATAAATACTCCAATGATAGCCAAATAATTTCAAGTAACCACCATAGAAGCACTGAATGTAGAGTTGGGAAGACATGTGCAATAATACAACATTATATGAACAAAACAGTGTTTTCACCATACACCGAAAACAGATTGAAATAACTTCCAGAGCCTAATAGAAAGGAAGTAGCAAGACTCTAAGTAATTATTGCTTTGGTTTCTATGTGATTTATTTAATTATTAAAATTATGTAACTTTTTGTTACTGTTGTTATGGGGCTTGAACTCATGCCTGGGTGCTATCCCTGAGCTTTTTTGCTCCAGGCTAATACTCTAAACCATTTTGAGTCACAGCCCCACTTCCAGTTTTCTGGGTTAATTGGAGATAAAAAATCTCATGGGCTTTCCTGCCTGGGCTGACTTTGAATTGTGATCCTCGGATCACAGCCTCCTGAATAGCTAGGATTACAGGCATGAGCTCACTGACCTGGCTTGTAACAATCTTAATACTACTGAGTTTCATAATTACTGAAAATGTATCAGTCAACTCCTGTGAACCATTACATAGTAACATAACCACAGCATAATAATGAAGGAACTCTATGCTATTGGCAGATAATTCACCCTACCTTCCTGATATCATGCTAATTTATACAAAATATTTTATTTAATTCTTTTGTATGTATGTGTGTCTGTCTCTGTGTGTGTATGTGTGTGTGTGTGTGTGTGTGTGTGTGAGAGAGAGAGAGAGAGAGAGAGAGAGAGAGAGAGAGAGAGAGAGAGAGAGAGAACATGGTACACCATTCTTAGGGCTTGAATTCAGGCCCTGTACTCTGTCCCTGAGCTTTTTCAATCTAGGCTGATGCTCTACCACTTCAGCAACACCCCCACTTCTGGCTTTTTGGTGGTTAATTGGAGATAAGAGTCTCTTGGACTTTCTTGCTTGGGCTGGCTTTGAATCATGATCCTTAGATGTCAGCCTCTTGAATAGTTATGATTATAGGCATGAGGCCCAGAGCCCAGTTTATATAATTCTTATATCAACTCTTCATATGAATATTAATACTATTGTTATTAGCTGCAGTTGAGAGATAAGGAAATTGAAGTTGAGTGAAATAAGTAACATATATATACATATATACACATATATTATGTACATATATACACATTTATACATATATAATATGTATACAATATATGTATATACATATGTGTTATTTATTTTATCTATCTATGTATATGTGTATATATATATATATATATGTATGATCATGGAAATATAGCAATGATTGTGCAGTTAGCAAGTGATGGAGGCAGGATTTAACCCAACACCATCTGATTTAAGAGCTCACAATAGCATTTTACTAGGTAACAAATTATGGAACTTAGAAAACCGTTTTAGCCTAGTGCCAGTGGTTCATGCTTGTAATCCTAGCTACTCAGGAGGCTGAGATCTGAGGATCACAGTTCGAAACTAGCCCAGGCAGAAAGTCCCCATGAGACTTTATCTCCAGTTAACCACTCAAAAGCCAAAAATGGTGCTGTGGTTCCAAGTCGTAGAGCACTAGCCTTGGGCAAAAGAGCTCAAGGACAGTATGTAGGTCCTGAGTTCAAGCCTTACTACCGACAAAGAAAGAGAGAGAGGGAGAGGGTGGGGGGGAGAGAGAAAGAGGGACACAGAGAGAGAGAGAGAGAAAGAAGGAAGGAAGAAGGAAGAAGACAGAAGGAAGGAAGGAGGAAGGAAGGAAGGAAGGAAGAAGAAAGGAAGGAAGGAAGAAAGGAAGGAAGGAAGGAAGGAAGGAAGGAAGGAAGGAAGGGAGGAAGGAAGGAAGGAAGGAAGAAGAAAGGAAGGAAGGAAGGAGAAAGGAAGGAAGGAAGGAAGGAAGGAAGGAAGGAAGGAAGGAAGGAGAAAGGAAGGAAGGAAGGAAGGAAGGAAGGAAGGAAGGAAGGAAGGAAGGAAGGAAGGAAGGAAGGAAGGAAAGGAAAGGAAAGGAAAGGAAGGGAAGAAAGAAAGAAGAAAACCATTTACAAATGTTCACTTTGTGGTTTGTCATGTATTGAAATGTTGTTTTGCAGATGCAGAGGGCATGGATCTGGGCAAAAAAGTCAGCATCCCCAGAGACATCATGTTGGAAGAACTGTCTCATCTGAGTAATCGTGGTGCCAGACTGTTTAAGATGCGTCAAAGAAGATCTGACAAATATACATTTGAGAATTTCCAATATGAGTCTAGAGCGCAAATAAACGTAGGTATAACTTGACCATGTGGCATCTAAATGCATGGGGCGCAGGCTCTACATTTATATGTATGACTAGATTCCCAAACTAGTTATTCTACATACATTCTTTCAGTTGATTCTGGTAGACATTCTATTCTTGATAAGGAATAGTTTGGGTGGATAAACAAAAGAACCATTATATATGATATGAGCATGCTTTCAGTTCAATAGAGACATTGTAAGCATGTAGATTTGGCACTGAAGAACTGGACTGTTCTGCTCAGAGAAGGGAGAGGGAGTGGAGAGAACTGGTACTAAATGTTTCCATGGTCTTATCGCGACCAGTGAAATGTTTGAGATGGAAACATTTCCAAAGCACACGGTGCTCCACAAAGTAAGGCTAAGCATTTTTTAGTTAAATACAATCCCAGTCCTGAAAATGCCTGGGGACCACAGACTCAGCCTGTCTCCTATCAGAGCATGTTTTTCCATCTTGTTTAGGGAAGTCTGGGTCCTATTGATGACAAAGTCAGGGTGCCTAATTCTTTGGACAATGACTTACTGAAAGCTAATGAACAGCAGTATAAGAATTCTAATAGATTTCATATATTTTATTAATATTATATTCACTTAAAGTGTCATTCAGAGCTATCATAGAAAAAGTTGTTCATAATAGGAAGGCAACCCGCATTGGAAAATTGTTTTAAAAATTAAATACCTGCCAGGGGGGCAGTGGCTCACACTTTGTAATCCTAGCTACTCAGGAGGCTGAGATCTGAGCATCATAGTTTGAAACCAGTCAGGCAGAAAAATCTGTGAGACTCTTAAGTCCAATTGACAACCAAAAACAAAACAAAACAAAAGCGGGAAGTGGTAAGTAGTAGTAGTAGTAAAGCACTAGCCTTTAGCACAAAAGGCTCAGCAACAATACCCAGACACTGAGTTCAAGCCCCAGGACCTGCATAAGGAAGAAAAAAGTTAAATCCTAAACTAAAATTTGAAGACATGGTAGAGATGCCAACAAATGTGTTTTATTTACTGTTTTTCCCTATGCCTAAGAAAGGTTTCTAAGACCTTAGACAAATGTAAAAAAAAAAAGTCCTTTACAAATGTAAACATTAAAATTTACCAGCTACCATCAATAGTGAAGTGTGTGTGTGTGTGTGTGTGTGTGAGAGAGAGAGAGAGAGAGAGAGAGAGAGAGAGAGAGTTCTGGGGCTTAAACTCAGGGCCTGAATGCTGTCCCTGAGCTTTTTTGCTCTAGGCTAGCAGTTAGCTACAGCTCCACTTCAAGTTTTTGTTTGTTTTGGTTTTTTTTGTATGTGGCTAATTGGAGATAAGAGCCTTAAGAACCTTCCTGCCTAGGCTGGCTTTGAATCCTGATCCTTAGATCTCAGCCTTCTTGATTGAGTAGCTAGTATTATAGCCAGGAGCCACAGATGCCTGGCAATAATGAAATATTTTGAATGTTTCATTTCTTTACAGAATATTGAGTTTACTAATTCTTTTACCAGACTTACTGCAAGAAACTATAGAAAATGAGATCCACAACAGCAAAAACAATAGTATTAATTTAAAATATATCCATTTATCTTGACCTGCTTAGTAGTAAGTGTTGAAAGTATATTTTAAATGAAAAATGTTTGGAGCCAGGAATGTAGCTCAGTAGAAACTTACCTGTGCAGCATACGAGAGCGCCTGGCTTCTAGTTCTAGCACTGCAAACAAAAAATGTGTTCATATTAATGAGAATTCTTCAACATCTATAGATTCAATCTAGTTACAGTTGTGAATCTGGTGAAATATTAAGTCATATTCACAGTATTTACATATGTGAAGCTGATTTTTTGCTTGAAGTGGCAGATAAACATAATGTTCTGTGACCCTTAAATTATGCACGGTATCCTCTTTTTTTTTTTTTTGCTGATCCTGGGACTTGAACTCAGGGCCTGGGCACTGTCCCTGAGCTTCTTTTGCTCAAAGCTAGCACTCTACCATTTGAGCCACAGCACCACTTCCAGGCTTTTCTATTTAAGTGGTACTGAGAAATCAAACCCAGGGCTTCATGCATGCTTAGGCAAGCACTCTACCACTAAGCCACATTCCTAGCCCTACAGTATCCTCTTATCAGAAAGTATCTGTGACAAATACAGTATGAGCTGAAAATAATCCTATTCCGGATGACAGTTTGTTATGTAATCATATCCTTTCAATAATGACAACAAAGAAGATGCTTCATAAAATAATACTGGGCAAGGTCATGTCAGGATAGGCTTGCAAAATGATCTATGAGTCTAGACATCTAAGTGAATGAATAGTGCCACTTACAATACTATGAATGAATAGTGACACAACTCTGAGAATACTACACTACAATTCTAAGTAACATACAAGATTTAAAATACCCTGTAGGCTAAACATATTCTTTCCTCACTGTTTTCTGAACTTACTGACAATCATTTTCTGTGCCAGTAGTCAAAAGTTACAGTTACTCAAAGTGTAAAAAACAAACAAAAACAAAAACCCATGAGAATTCTTCACTTTTCCTGGGAAATAGAGCACTCCATAAATCAAATAGTCTCCCAATTTATCTTACAATAAATCAATTTTGACAAGTGAGACAACAATAAATAATAATAAAATCTTCAATGAAACCACACTGCATTGAATTTCCTAATGTAGTCTAAAGTCTGATGAAATCTACTCCCTTCTTCTGAGACGAGGAAAGTAGGATTCAAGGAAATATGTTGATCTGACTTAGGCAACAAAATAATAAAAGAGACTGGATCCAGCTGTTAGAATTCTACCATCTTTGGAACCAATGCCTCTCTTGGTGTAAATAAAGGAAACTTTGTCTTGGAAACCAGATAATTACAGTTTGGTCCTGGCACTCCCAACCCACTATGTGATTTGAGGCTACTTTAAACTTTTTTGCCTTTCTGGATTTCTTCTTTGCAAAGCATGAGCTCGGATGTTCTCAAAAGATGCCTTCTGACTTAAACAACCTGCGTTCTCTTAATTCTAATAATTATCTGTACAAAAATCATTGAAGAGTGCAAACTACATAATATAATGACACAATCACTTTGTCCATGTTTAGGTTACAACCTGGATCACTGTAAAAATGACAGGATTTTTTTTCCTTTTTAATGTTTTTTATTGTAAAAATACTGTACAGAGGGGTTACAGTTACATGAGTAAGGTAATGAGTACATTTCTTATCAAGCATTGTTACCTTCTCCTTTGTTTTTTCCCTACCATCCCTTCCCTCCCCCCTCCCTAACACCTGCCCCCCCCCTCCCAGCCAAGTTGTAAAGTTTGTTTTTAACATAGTGTCTTATACATCTCATTGTTACAATGGGTCAACCTGTATCCTTATTTCAGCATTTTGTTATTTCCCTTCCTCTCCCCAAATTAGAAAAATGTATATACAAGATGCAGGGCACCGACATCAAATACAGCGAAAACAGGGATTATACTGTGGGAGAAGAACATACAAGAGAAACAAAATTACATAGTACATTTTAAATACGTTAAAAACAATAGCAAGAAAGAAAAAAAAAACACTTGTGTCCCTATCTTGGGGTTAATTTCGCTTAACATCATCTTATATGGTCGTATGTACATAGCTTTTGACCTTTTCTACTTGCCCTAGACTTATGCTAGTTACTGCAAATAAGGGAAACCATGGGATTTATGTTTCTTTAGACCTAGCTTACTTCACTTAATATAATTATTTCCAAGTCTTTCCATTTGCTAACAAATGGGGCAATGTCATTCTGATGGAAGCATAGAATTCCATTGTATAAATAGACCACATTTTCTTGATCCATTCATCTACTGAGGGGCATCTGGGTTGGTTCTATATCTTAGCTATGGTAAATAATTCTTCAGTAAACATAGTTGTGCTGGTAGCTTTAGTATGGCCTTGTTTGTGATCGTTTGGGTAAATGCCTAAAGGTGGGATTGCTAGGTCACAGGGGAGCTCTGTGTAGTCTTTTGAGGAACCTCCATACTGCTTTCCAAAGTGGTTGAACAAGTTTACACTCCCACCAACAATGCAGTAGGGTTCCCTTCTGGCCACATCCCCTCCAGCATTTGTTGTTATTAGATTTCTTGATTATAGCCATTCTAACTGGGTGAGGTGGAATCTCAATGTTGTTTTGATTTGCATTTCTTTTATGGCTAGAGAAGTTGAACATTTCTTCATTTGTCTATTGGCCATTCTTATTTCCTCTTCAGAGAAGTCTCTCTTTAAGTATTTAACCCACTTATTTATCGGGCAGTTGTTTCTTTGACGATTTGTTTTTGGGGGATTTAGTTTTTTGAGTTCCAAGTATATTTTAGATATGAGACACTTGTCCATTGAATGGCTAGTGAAGATCTTCTCCTAATCTGTAGGCTTTCTGTTGATTTTGCTAGCTATGTCCTTTGCCACGGAGAAGCTCTGCATTTTCATGCAATCCCTTTTGTGCAACATTTCTTTGATTTGTTGTGTTTTTGGGTCTCTATTAAGAAAATTTCAGCCTGTGCCAAGGAGACCTAGGGTTTCTCCTATCCCTTCCTATAATGTTTTCAGGGTGTCTGCTTTGACTTCAAGGTCTTTGATCCATTTGGAGTTGATTCTGGCACAGGGTGATGATATACAAGGATCTAGCTTTAGTTTTCTACAGATGTTTAACCAATTTTGCCAGCACCATTTACTGAAGAAGCAAATGACAGGATTTTTTTAAAGGTAACATTTTATCAAGTTTATATACATCAATTCATTTGTACATTTTGCAAGTATGCATCATTATATTCTGGGTAGTATGTTGTAAGTTCAAAGATGAGTAAATACAGCATTTGTCTAGCATAGAAAAGACTAACATTGAAAGATAACATACAAGCTGGGCACTGGTGGCTCGTGCCTGTAATCCTAGCTACTCAAGAGACTGAGATCTGAGGATTGCGGTTCAAAGCCAGCCCGGGCAGGAAAGTCCATGAGACTCATCTCCAATAAACCACTAGAAAACGGAAGTGGCGCTGTGGCTCAAGTGGTAGAGCACTCGCCTTTAGCTGAAGAGTGCAGGGACAGTGCCCAAGCCCAGAGTTCAAGCCCCATGACCAACCAAAAAAAAAAAAAAAAAAGAAAGAAAGAAAGATAAAATGCAGATGTTAACTTACAGACTAGTTCTTGAATCCTCTTTATATGATTTATGTTATATATACCTAATTCATTGATTACATTCTGGATCATGGTTTAAACTGCTTCTTTTGAGTTGTAACTATTGTCAAAATAATGATTTAACTTATTTTTATATATTTCTTTTTTATTATAATGGTTAGGAGCAAAACAAATGAAAACCTAAATCTCTAGCAATCAATGCCATTTGTTCACCTGACAAGTGTCCTTCTAAAAACAGCAACTACATAACTTTGAGCTTACTTTACTACTTGAGGAGACTGGCAAATACAAGCCACATATTACAATGAGAGGAAATGTTTATTCTTTAAAAAAACAAAAAGCATCGCTTGCTACATGAGCCAATTCTGAAGTCCTACAAGATGAAATGACTTATTTCTTAGATAAAAGGTCAAAAAAAGCTGAAGAAAATAAACAATCATAAGAAAAAAAGAGGAATTAATAATAACTCAAAACTCTCTCTGTCGACCACTGCAAAAAGACATTGAACTTCTTGAAAACACTATAAATTATATAATATTGGATAAAAGGACAAGTTTCCATAAAAAAATAATTCTGGCCAGAAGTGTAGGTGTGGCTTAAGTGGTAGAGCCCCAGACTTGAGGGAGAAAGCTTAAAGGAAAATACCAAGGGCCTGAGTTCAAACACCAGTACTGGCACAGGTGTATGCATGTGTACACACACATGTGCACACACACACACACATACACATACACATATACACAGAGTCTGAAATAAGTTCAAACCTTGGGAGTCTGAACATATAGTTTATTCAAAACATAACTTCCATGTATATGGCATAAAGTATACCAAAACAAAACAATTCTATTTCTATGGATATTTCAATGGAAATCATATAAAATATTATGGTTTTAATTTACATGATTACAACCTGTAAGATGTCATTCTATTTTTATTTTCTTTAGAGATAACAAAAATAAAAGAAAATACATTTCCATTTGCCCTTTCCAAATTTTCTGAAGTTGATCACAGACAGGTGAAATACTGTAATTCCAGGCTTTGTTTCATAGTTAACAAGGATAATAGAGCTAGTGGGTGTCTCTGGATAATAGCTAATGAAAAGAGTTGATTTTCCTGTTTGTCATTAATCTCTAGGAAAAGGTTTCAGATGACTGGTAGTACCATTCTTAAAAATTAATGTAGGTGGAATAAATTTCAAGGATACATTCTACCAATGTAGAAAAGATAAATATTTATCCATTACATACCTAAACTTCCTATGTTTATCTCAACCCATGTTTTATTTACAGTTAAAGTTTACAGGAACTTTCTATCTTTTAAAGAAGACACGTAGGCTCAGAAGTAAAAAAAAAAAAAAGTCAGAACAACACTGATCTTGTCAATGAAGTTGAATACTCAAGATAAAAACTAAATGCAAAATGTAAAAGCACTAAGTGAAATATGTGCACTTATAAAATGTTTTATCTTTAGAAATCATTATTAAAAGTTGTTTTTAAGTGTCCTATCTAAGGAAAAATGGTATGATATGATAATACCCAACTACATTTAAACCAGCTTAAAATCTAGTTGGGGACCCCAAATGACATTAATTAAGTAAAATTCTAGCTAAGAAGAACAAACATTCACATGTTGTGTTTATATGAAATATGGAGACAATTCTGGCAGAGGAAGTTGAAAAGAAGGAGATTTTAAGATAGGTACAAACCCTAGGAAATCTAAGATTTGGTTTGAGAAAGAACAGAGGGGAGTCATTCAAAGCTGTGAAGCAGGAGTGAGTAGAACCTGCCCCAGAAACAGGAAACTGTTTGGTAGAAATGTACTGATAAGCACTGGCTCATGCCTGTCATCCTAGCTATTCAGGAGGCTGAGATCTGAGGATCACAGTTCAAAGCCAGCCCAGGGCAGAAAGTCTGTGAAGCTCTTTTCTCCAATTAATGACCAAAAATACAGAACTAGAGATATGACTCAACTGTTAAGAGTGCTAGCCTTGAGCACAAAAGCTCTGGGGCAGTGCCTAGGCTCTGAGTTCAAGTCCCAGGACCGATGTGCACAAATCAGTGATTACTGCACATTAGTTTGCATGTTATTCAATAGGCAACAAGAAAGTATTTCTAAAGATTAAAGTCATGTTCTACTCAGAGGCACTAGATGGACTTAAAGTGGTAAGAAATGAATAGAAGGTTGATGATCCTTTGATAATGAGTGAAAGGAGGAGTTTTGCTGGGGAACTTCTTTGCTTAAAGTATGAAAGGCAGGAAGCATATGTGATTTTTCAAAAAAAGAAAGTCCTACATACACGATTTAGTTTGAAACTTAGGTTACATCTTCAGAAATGGATGGCAGACGAGGCTAGACATGTAGATCTGAGAGTAAGGCTAAAACATTTAGGTTTTATTCACAGTAATTTAGGTTCAAGTTCCCATAAGTTTGACCCTCAGGCAGAGGTTGCTTTGAGGAAAGGCCTTCCCAAAATAAATCTGTCTGAATTCTCCTAACAGAGTAAGTCTTTTTGTTTAATAAAGCTATTTCTTGAAAATAGTCAGATGGACTATTGCACAAATGTAATTTATATGTGATAACTGCATTTTATCATTGTCATTATCTGCAGAATAAATGAGGGCTCTGATACAGCTGGGAAAAGAATAAAGAATTAAATTATAGTAGTGATTTAAAAGTAGACTTTTATTTGTATGCCTCAGAGACTAACATAAGTGAAAATGACAGGGCGAGTATGAAAATAAGTGTCAATTTTACTTTCTTCTTATGATATCAGATAAGGATCTTAATTATATCCTTTATTTCTGGTATTTGAATTATGTACAAAACAGACTTTTATTATCAAAGTTCTATAAAATTGGAATATTTTAATTCTGAAAAATAAATGTAAAAATATATTTTGCCACAAAGCCTAATAAGTGTATATGTGAAAAACATGGTATTAAATATTACCTAAATATTCTTAAATATATACTAATTTCCTAATATGTCATGCAGCAGAATAAGCCAATATTGGTATCTCTTTGCTTAGCTTTCCACTGAGTTTTTTTCTGAATTTGATCTTAGGCACTTCTCTTTAAAATACATATATTTTGCCGGGCGCTGGTGGCTCACGCCTGTAATCCTAGCTACTTAGGAGGCTGAGATCTGAGGATCACGGTTCAAAGCCAGCCCGGGCAGGAGAGACCTTGAGACTCTTATCTCCAATAAACCACCAGAAAACTGGAAGTGGCGCTGTAGCTCAAGTGGTAGAGTGCTTGCCTTGAGCTGAAGAGCTGAGGGACAGCGCCCAGGCCCAGAGTTCAAGCCCCACGACCGACAAAAAAAAAAAAAAAAAAAAAATACATATATTTTGGGGGCTGGAAAGGTGGCTCAGTGGTAGATGCTTGCCTTGCATGCTTGAGGCCCTAGGTTCGATTCCTCAGCGCCACATAAGCAGAAAAAAAAAAAAGCCGGAAGTGGCACTGTGGCTCAAGTGGTAGAATGCTAGCCTTGAGCTGAAGAGCTGAGGGACAGCGCCCCGGCCCAGAGTTCAGGCCCCACAACCGGACCCCCCCCCCCCAATACATATATTTTATGTAAGTAGGGTAATATTACCACATAAGGCCTACACAACTTCTGAGGACATAATCTATGGCAATGTTTACTTTTTCCTCTTAAAATTTAAAATTAATGTTTTCAAGAAAGTATATAGGATTACTATAGAACAAATTCTAAGTTATAATAGTAAAACAAATGTGATCAGGACTTAAAAGACAATTGGAGCACCAGTGGCTCAAGCCTATAATTCTAGCTTCTCAGGAAGCTGAGACCTGTGGAACATGGTTCAAAGCCAGACCAGCCAGAAAAGTCAGAGAGACTACTTCTCTAATTAATTAGCAAAAAAGCAGAGTTGCAGATATGACTTAAGAGGTAGAGCACCAGCCAAGCAAGCATGAGGCCTGAGTTAAAACCCTAGGGCCAAATAAACAAATTAACAAAATTCACAAAGAATAAAATTAAAATGTAAAAGATAAATGTCTCCTTTTAGTTTTTCCTAAAAAAATCAGTTTTCCTTCTGTAAGTCTATGCAACTTAAAATGCAAATGGTTTTTCTATTTGTTTGGGGGAATTGATACATAGAATACAATCCATTTGAAACACACATATATGTTTCAGATTCATATATATATATATATATATATATATATATATATACACAGATATGTTTGTATATATATGAACTATAAAACACAAGGCTAATTGAAGAATCCTTAAGCCAAATATTTATCCAACATGCTTCACATTACGAGATTAAAAAGGTTTAAAGGTTAAACGTATTCTTCTCATAAGGATGTTGTATATAGAAAATTAATTAACTGCATGAAGCCCTAGCTGCAGGCCCTGGCAAATTCATGCTCAATTATTTGGTGTCAACTATGATTCAGTAGGTTGTGCCAAGATAGACTGACATCAGAAAAGTGTTTATCAAAGTATTCTACCTTGTAAACTATAGTTTACCACGTAAACTATAGTGGCCTTGTGAAACATTATAATGGCATTGCATTTCTAATTTAGATAGAATATTAAATATATGGCTCCTGTTAGTTTGCCTAGCATAATGGGGTTTTCAGCAAAGTTTTTCCTTTTTTTTTTTTAAAAAAACCAAATACAGCACAATATTGGTATGCAGAATGGGAAACTGGATGGCAGTCCCATGGAAGCTGCTTTACAGCAAGCACCCCTGACTCCCCCCAACACCCCAGATCCACGAAGCCCTCCAAATCCAGAGAGCATTGCACCAGGTAAGCAATCCCCTTACAAATACAACAGTAAGACAGGTGTACACTCACCTCTGTGACTCATCTGAAACTCTCATTAAGTGATATGTGTGTGTGTGTGTGTGTGTGTGTATGTGTGTGTGTTGTCCTAGGGCTTGAACTCAAGGTCCTGGCACTATCCCTAAACTTTCTTGCTCAAGGCTAGTACTCTACCACTTGAGCCACAGCTCCACTTTTCTTTCTTTTCTTCTGAGGATCATGGTTTGAAGCCAGTCCAGGCAGAAAAGTCCCCATTAGACTCTTATCTCCAAATAACTACTTAAAAACCAGAAGTAGTGCTGTAGCTCAAGTGGTAGAGCACTAGCTTTGAGGACAAAGAGGTTCAGGGATAGTGCCCAGGCCCTGAGTTCAAGCCCCACAACTAACAAAAAAGAAAGAAAGAAAGAAAAGAATATGTATTAAAGGCATAGTGGCTTATACCTTTAATCCTAGCACTTGTTAACATAGGTAGGGCCTAAGGATTGAGTGAGTTTGAAGCCAGCTTGAGTTACATAGTGAGTCTGAGATGGATGTGGGTTATCTAACAAGGCATTTTCTCAAACAAAGAGGAGTAGAGGAAGGAGAGAAGGAGGAGGAGGAGAAGAAAAAGAGGAGGAGAAAAAGATGAGGATTTTTTCATTGTCATAAGAAGAAATCAAATCTTTAGGAATATTTCTAAGTAATAATAATATCATACTGACATATGAAATCACTCTGCCAGCTATTTAGACAGAAATGTGTTGTGTTTGTGTCAGTACCAAGGCTTGATCTCAAGAATGTGTGCTCTTGCCCAGTTTTTTCCCTCAAGGCTGTTACTTGAGCCACACCTCCACTTCTGGCTTTTTGCTGGTTAACTGAGGACAAGAGTCTCTCAGATTTGTCTGCCTGAGTTGGTTTCAAACCTCACTCCTCAGATCTCAGCCTCTTGAAAATGATTTAAAAGTCATTCCAGAAATTTGTGTGGTTTTTATATGATGCTCCCCAAAGTTTTTAGTTATTTTTAAGAATAACAAATCAGAGTGGTGAGACCAGAAACAGCAAGTCTAGGTTAAAAAATGTATATACAGGGCTGGGAAGGTGGCTCAGTGGTAGAGCGCTTGCCTTGCATGCCTGAGGCCCTGGGTTCGATTCCTCAGCACCACATAAGCAAAAAGAAAAAAGCCGGAAGTGGCGCTGTGGCTCAAGTGGTAGAGCGCTAGCCTTGAGCTGAAGAGCTCAGGGACAGTGCCCAGGCCCAGAGTTCAGGCCCCACGACTGGACCCCCCCCCCCAAAAAAAATATATATATACACAGAGGTACAAAGTAAATATAGGGTGGAGGCATGGAGAAGGCTAGGATCTCAATAAGACAGTTTGCCTTTTTGAAGCAGAGATATTTTATAGGCCATTCAAATAGTTAAGCTAGCTTTGACCCAAATATTACTTCTGAAGAATAAGCTTTAAGAGGAGGAAGATCCTATTTTTGTAGTTATTTTTGTGTAGCCTCACATATAATCAGCATTCTGTTTTTAATTAAATTAGTTACAAAGTTTCAAGTCTAACATAAGTGAATATAAGGGACACCTTTTTTTCCCAAAAAATTAAATGAATAGTTTTACACGAACAGGTAGAAAGATAATAGATTCTAAATAGATGATGACAGATGATAGAAGGATAAATGATAGATGACAGATAGAGATTCAAGGGGAAAATAATGTATTATTCAGAAAAATTAAACATCGCCAGGTGCTGATGGCTCAAGCTTGTAATTCTAGCTAGTCAGGATATGGAGATCTGAGGATGGCAGTTCGAAGCCAGCCAGGGCAGGAAAGGCCTTTAGAATTTTAGCTCCAATTAACCACCAGAAAACCAGAAGTCGTGCTGTGGCTCAAGTGACAGAGCACTAGCCTTGAGCAGGAAAGCTCAGTCTGAGCCCCATAACTGCCTCCTCCCCCCCAAAAAAAAGAAAGAAAAGAAGAGAAAAATTAAACATCAAGAAAAGTGACTTCTTTTTAGAATTCCAGCAACTTACAGGAGTTTAAATATCCAACACTTTCAGACTACTGTTGTGCGAAGGGTCATAAAAAAGGTTAATTACTCATCAATTTATCCCAGCATGGAAAATTGGACACATGGGACTGGTAGGTGGCATTTAGGAACTCTAGGACATTGTGTTTGTTGACAACAAACTGTTTGTGCTGTTTCTCCAAAGGATATTCTGGGCCCCTGAAGGAAATTCCCCCTGAAAGATTCAACACCACCGCTGTCCCTAAGTACTACCAGTCCCCCTGGGAACAGGCCATCAGTGATGACCCAGAGCTCTTGGAGGCTTTATACCCTAAACTTTTCAAGCCTGAGGGAAAGGCAGAACTACCCGATTACAGGAGCTTCAACAGGTAATTCAGTCATCTGAGGTGACACTGTTGGCATGTGATGCTAAGATGTTTCCTGCACATAGAGGACTGAATCTCCTGGTAGGAAAAAATGAACATTTGTCTTTTATTTTCAGAAAGTAGATTTTCAGAAAATTAAGAGCAGGGACTCAGTGGATCACACATGATTAAATACAAATGGTAACAATTGCTGAAAATGTATGTGCAAGAGCACACAATGCCTAAGGCTTTGTTTATTAAGGGCATGTTGTTACTGAACAATTATACAGGGTGATTCTATCTTCTGGATTCAATGTTTGCAAATGAGAGTATAAAATGTTATATATGTAATTTTTTAAATTCTAGTGTGGAACTAATTTCCTAAGAACTAGAAAAGCTTGCGTAAGTAAACTTTGTGTGTGTGAGTTCTAGATCTTGAACTCTGGCCATGGGCACTGCCCCTTGCTCAAGTCTACCCCTCTATCACTTGAATGGCAGCTCTACTTCCAGCTTTGGTACTTAATTGGAGATAAGTCTCACAGACTTTCCTGCCTCAGCTGGCTTCAGATGGGTGATCCTGAGATCTGATTCCTGAGTAACTGGGATTAAAGATGTGAGCCACTAGTGCCCAGATACAAACAATTTTTTTAAATGATTGAAAAGCTATCAAGAAAGTGTATTCTTGAAGGCCAAGATCTTGGAAAAAAGAGAACTCTAGAGATGGAAACCCAACATTTGGTACTTCTCCCCTCTAAGTACTGCTGGTCACTGGTAAAATCTAAGAGGGTGAGAAGCTGAGCAAAATTTTCAGCAGTTTCTAGCTTAGGAACTCAAAATAGGATTATAAGAACCTCTAAAATGGAGGTGCCTAGTGGCCATTCCATGACTTCAGCTGGAAACGTCTAGTGAAAATATTGCTTAAAAGTAAAAGTTAAATAAAAACATGGTAAGATTCATTTGTATTCCCATGTTATGATACATAATTATTACCTATTAATATAGCATAGGGAGCAGGATGCAGTCTGACTACATCCAGTGGTGATAAAATGGATGAATATTGGATCCTAAGTATATTCACAATCTCAAAATAGCTGAATACAACTTTGTATTCTTGTACTCTCTTGACTATAGTCAAATTTTATGCAACATTCAAACTTGTGGAACATGTAAGAAAAAGTAAACTTGGAGCAAAGAGATTTCCAGCTCTGCTTTACATTTTTCTCATTGGTATAATTAATTTTATGATTAGATATCTTTAAATATATACACAGTAGCTATTTTGTAGAATTTCTATGCGACCCTCCTACCCAACAGAATAGTTAGCTATTATTATGATTGTATTATGTGTTCAGTGCTAATAATAATTTTTAGGAACCTAAACATGCTTATTATTCACAACACAGATGACAAAGTGTAAAAGATGTTTAATCATACCTATTTCTACAGAATTACTCGTGGAATTATAGAGATGCAAGTATCTTTGAATAGGGTATTTGGATAGGTTATTTCATGGCAGAATTTTACTTTAGTACCTTTGAGTAGGACTTGAAACTATTTTCATAGATCTTAAAAATCTTACAAGAAGACTCTCACTTTGAATGCTAAAGGATTCCCTTTCATTTGTATGTAGGAGGCAATAAATTTCAAATAAACAGGATGTAGTCTCAGTGTTCCCAAAGAAAAGAAAAGAAAATCCTGCTTTCCAAACAGCAACTTTTCACTGGCTCTGTGCTAAAAGGTAGGAGACCAATGATGGGACAGAAGGAGAATTCTGATGTTTACGAGGGTAGAAAATGACCCACTAATTCATCCAGAGTGGAGAGAAAAAACCCACAGAACTGGCTAAGAAGAAGGAAAGCAGCTCACTAAATATAAAACCCCAACAGTGGATCTGAGTACAGAGGAACTTTCTTCTTTGAGTTAGATCAGAAAATAAATACATGAATAAAATTTATTTCTGGAATCAGATTCAGCTTGAATCTGGAAATGTTCTTCTTTGGCATCTTGGATCTAATGGGTGACTCTATTCCTTTGTTAAAAAAAAACCAATAATAGGTGTGCCACCTGTGAAGTTGCCTAGATCCCCTTGAAAAGAGACACACAGGTGGTTTAGTGTTATACTGTCCTTATCTTCACATTTCAAATTATTTTCAAATTTAAGTGACTATAATATTATTTTCCATTTTGAGGCCTGAACCCAGTGCCTTGGGTGTTTTTGGCAGTCTCTCTGCCATTGAGCACAATCCTAACCTCCAATTCTTACTAATTTTCTAATGAGGCGTGTTATTTTTCTGTTTTGTACTGATCCCTAAGACTTATAATGCTGGTCTTGGTCTAGAACTCTAAATTTAAGGAAGTGGGTTTTTGTTTTTGTTTTTTGTTGTTTCTGTTTTGCATAAGGCTTCTCTCCCCTCAGGCTATTCTTCTGTTACAGTAACTAATTTATGTCATATACCTCTCCCTGTCCCCTGCTCACTCTTTGCTAGTCAGCTCATTGGAGATTAAAATACAGTGCAGTCTTTTCCTTGGTATTCACATAGCAGAATATCTAGACAGACTGAATAATGAATGAATCAGCAAATGAACAATCTATTGTCATACAATAGCAAATATCTTAATGTGATAAAACATTCCCTTGCCTATCTTAAACATCTAAGAATAAGACATTTCCTTATGTACTGCGTCTAATTTGAGTCAGATGTTTATCATCATTAAATCAGAAAACAAAATGTGGAACACTGAATTAGATGGTCTTGTTATGAGTCTGACAGCAACCATATGAGATTGAGTGGTTGGATATGATATAAACACATAGTCCGTGTGGGCTGAGATTCTAAAATACACTTCTGAACCTAGGAAGTGGTTTGAGAGGTCTGGTGATCTAGTTCAGTAGTAGAGCATTTGCCTAGTAGGGTTAAGTTTGAAAAATTGTAAGAATTCTTTTGTGGGGTGTGCAAGCGACTAGCAAAGTAGAATTCCAGCAAGTCTGGATACCAAGGTTCAAATCATGGTTCCCTAAATTAATGGGTACATGACTTCGGGCAAGTCATTTAGCTTATCTCTGTCAAATGGGGTATGAATAAAATCAACTCAGAAAGGTTTCTGTGCAGATTTAATAAGATACTCATGTGAAGCCTTTGGTAGATCAAAGTATGGCTGCAAATCAACAGCATCTGTACCACCTGGAAACTCGCCAGAAATGCAGAATGCTAGGGGCTACCCAGGCTGACTAAATTAGCAACCACACTTTAAGAAGCTCCCGAAGTGGTATTGATACCAATAGCATGACAAGTACTTGAAGCAGTGTCTGGTGTATAGCATCCACATGATAACTATTAGCCCTCCCCCAGTACAATGCTTTCTGAAGGTTAATAATCCTAAAATACCTGAATGCTGTCTAATTTGGTAAAGGCTTTTTTTTTTTCCAATTGATCTCTTATTTCTAGAAAAGTGGGTTTCCTTCCTGGACAGAAGTCTGTGCTAACATGATTGCTGAAATAGTGATCAGGACAAGGTTGTTGGAACTACCTTACGATCTGTTCTCCAAATTCTCCCCAGCAAGTTAGGACACAAAGGATAAAGTCAACCATCTTGAGAAGAGGTACAATAGGACATGATGTATTATCTAGCTCTTCAGAGAGGGGAAAATATCATAGTCAAGAAAAATTGGCTTTAATAATATGGCATAGCATGTCTGTCACCACCATGGTTGAGGCCACTGTGCACAATTCCTCACTCACCAAAGATTTCTCTTTTCTTTCTTTCTTTTTTTGGTCAGGGACCAGATTTGACCTTGTACCTGACACTTTCACTCATTGGTTAGCACTCTATAACTGAGCCAGACCTCTACCAAACATTTTAATATCTTCTTTACTGCCTCCCTCTCTTGTAATTTTCCTGTTTTTGCTTTTTGGTGGCCTCACTACCCATGCAAATTATCCAACAAACTTTGCTCTTTCAAGTTACAACCTCTTTAAAGGATTATTTTCTCAACTACATCTCAGTCTTGGCTAATCTTAAAACTTATCCTTAATATTACCAAATCCTCAAGTCAAGCATTCTACTCTCTCACACACTTTATGTCTTTACAGTTCTTTTTTTTTTTTTTTTTTAACATTTTGAGTAATGCTTCATTCCTCTCAACAAAGCCACCTCTTTTTAAAAAGGTCATCATCCCCTTCAGAGGGATTTTCCTTACTTAGATTCTATTGCCCACCAATATTTCATTACATATACTCATGTCTTTCCTGCTTCTGTTATGCTCAGCTGCTAATGCTTCAGCTCTGGTCAATATTGTCTGTTTCTTCACAGGCTTAATGTGGGCCAAATGGAAAAGAAAGCTTCTTGACTGTCTCACCTTCAGTTGATAATCACAGATCCAACACTATCAGATAACCTTAGAACATGCTACAGCCATTTCTCTCCATCAGTCTCCTAAAGATAGGCTATACCTCCTCTTTCCCCGCATGGGCAAAATCCCACCCCACTCCACCACCAGCTGATGGCTGCAGGTGTTATTTCTGTGAGAGTGGAAGCAAATTGAAAGAGATCGAACTTGTTTTCCTGTTAACAAGGTTACCAACTGAGTGCTGATTCCATAAGCTCTTCACTTTCTTGTCAGAAATCTGATGAGTTACTCAACAGTTCCTAAAATCAGCCTTCACAAATGCGATTATTCCCAGCCCCTCTTGTCCACTCTCAGACTTAGCCTACAATTGCACCTACTCTTGTTCATCACTTTTTTTTTCTCTTTCTCCCTACTGGGTTCTTACTCTTAGTATAGAGACAAATTTAAATGTCTCTTAAATAAAAATCTTCCTTTTTCCTAAACTTCCTTACTGACTATCTAGTATTTCTATCCAATTTCTTGAAAACAAAAATATTTTCAAAGGAGTTAGGCTCCAATGGCTCATACCTGTAATCCTAGCTTACTCAGGAGGCTGAGATCTGAGGATTGAGGGTCAAAGCCAGCCTGGGCAGGAACATCGTTGAGACTCTTATCTCCAATAAACCACCAGAAAACCAGAAGTGATGCTGTGGCTTAGGTGGTAGAGTGCTCCCCTTGAGCTGAAGAGCTCAGGGACAGTGCCCAGGCCCAGAGTTCAAAACCCATGACCAACAGAAAAAAAAAAAAAAAAAAAAATATATATATATATATATATATATATATATATATATATATATATATTTCTTCCCTCCTCCAAAGGGGTATTTATCACTGTATATACTTCCTCATGTTTCATTATCTCTTGAACTCAGCTCAAACCATTCTAATATAAACAGATATTCCCATGTGTTCATGTTCCATAGTGAATTCAGTTATAAATTCATTCAGCTTCACAACAGAATATGTTATTATTTTCTTTCCTAAACACAGATTGTGTTCATTGCTTTTTAGAGCGCTAACTCTCCAGAGTCTCCATCTCCTCCTTCTTAGCTTCCACCGCTAGATCCTCCCTTTCCAAACGCTGAATGGTAGGACACTATTTTTTCTCTTTACTGTACACTCACTTATGCTGGGCTGTGACTTCCTGACATTCCATCCATTTGATGAGCATCTACTTGCTGGTAAAGCCAATGAGATATTCTGTGCTGAACCTTTCCTTAAGCCTCAGCCTTCCGCAGGACATAACCTAACATGTATGACTAACAACCATATGAAAATTAATGTCAGAAAGGAACCCAAACCAACTGCTATTACAGTCTATTTTTTGTCCGATTTCTTTTTTTTAATTTTTATTTTTTATTGTGAAAATACCGTACAGAGGAGTTACAATTACATGGGCAAGATAACGAGTTCATTTCCTATCAAGGATTGTAGCCTCCTCTTTGTTTCCCCTTCCCATCCCTTCCCATACTCCCCCACCTTCCCCCACCTGATCTCCCCTCCCCCCCAGTTGTAAAGTTCGTTTTTTGTCATAAGGACACATCTTAGTACACTCCATGTTGCTCAAGTAAGCAACAAAGAACTTTATTCCATTCTTCCCCTAGTATTGGATACCTTTAACCAAGTCCTGTGGGCCCCACCTTCAAAAAGCAATCAGTTACTTCTTAAATAACATCTCTAGCGTTAGAAACCACCTGATGGATCTCTTCCTTTGCTTAGTGTAAGTGTTTTAGACTGGGCTTTCTGCTTGTACTGTTTTCTTCCTCGAGGCTGTTTTCCACACAACAGCTGGAGAGAGATGATTTAAAAGGAGAATCAGATCACATCTACTTCCTGCTAAACATGCTATTACCACTTAACTGCAAACTTGCTATCAGGGCCTGAAGACTTAGAATTCTTGCCCCTGTGTCTCCAACCCCTGTGTCTCCAGCTTCCTCTTCTGCTCTCCTAAGGGTCACCTAGGGCCTGCCATACTGGCCTTCTTAATAAAACTCCATTTATAAAACTCCATTGTACCTTGGTGCCTTTTTCCTTTTTGTTCTGCTCGTCCACAATGCCTTCCTCGACTATCAGATAGTTCAGTGGTTCCATCTCATGCTTTGCTGAAATGATATTTTACAGACATTATATTTCAATAGTGCTCATTTCCCTGAACTAAAACTGCAGCAATGGTATGAGCATATGAACTTCCCAACTCCTCGCTCTCCTCTACATTTCCTCATTGCACTACTCAGTAAGTTATGCTATTGATTCATCTTCATGAGTTGCAGATACAAGTAGACAGCAGCAACGCTGTGCATCTTATTTAACACTATGATCTTGGCATCCACCACACGACCAGGCACCTGTAAGCCCTTATTGAACACCTGTTGTGAAAAATTAATATAGTTTACAGGATTGTGTTTGGCAGGTCGAGTCATTTCTCAGGTGAAAATGAGATGTCAAGCTAGCCAGACTTACTCAAGAATCTGACCTTTTATATAGTTGTGGTTTCTTTTTCTATTGCTCTATAATTTCTATCATTTTCTTTTAATACATATAGCATGTAGAAGGCAGAAATCCTACTTTTATTTATACACTGCACCATTTTTTTTGCTAGTCCTGAGGCTTGAACTCAGGGCCTGGGCACTGTCCCTGAGCTTCTATTGCTCAAGGCTAGCATTCTACCACTTGAGTCACAGCACTACTTCTAGCTTTTACTATTTATGTGGCACTGAGGAATCGAACCAAGGGCTTCATGCATGCTAGGCAAACACTCTACCCTAAGCCACTTCCCAGCCCTCCATTTTATTTTGTTTTTGTGGCAGTACTAGGGCTTGAACTCAGGGCCTAGGCATTATCCCTAAGCATTTTTGCTCAAGGCTAGTGATCTACCACTTGAACCACAACTGCACCTCTGCCTTTTTTTTTTTAAGTGCTTAATTACAGGGAAGAGTCTCACTGACTTTCTTGCTTGCACTGAGTTTGAACTGTAATCCTCAGACCTCAGCTTCCTGAGGCATGAACCTCTGATATTTGGCTACTCTACATCATTTTTTGTTTAGTTAAATGCACACATTAACAATCTGTCTAAATTATTATATACAAGAACAAAATCATGACTTCTGACTATGACCTTTTATACACGAGAGAATAAAATCTCTAACTACTTATTCCACTCATGTACTCTGCCACCAGGTAATACTGGCTAATTTGTACTTTTCTGAGGTATAAATAGTTAAACCAGATAGGCCTTCTTTCTTGGCAGTATCTAGCTTTGTTTATATAGTGCCAGTATTGTGGCTGGAACTCAAGGCTTCAGGCTCCTGCTTGGCCCTAGTGGGCTTTGAATCTTTATCCTCAGATCTCAGGTTCCTCCATAGCTAGAATGATAGATATGAACCACTGACTCCCAACCCGTGATCACATTTTAAAGTGTTTTTATTGTCACTGCCAGTACTTTTTCACAGTATGACTTGAGTTAATTAGTTATCCATCAGTTAGCTGGAGCACATTCAAGTCATTCTCTTAGGAAGAGAATACCAATCTAAACCATACCTACTTTCTTTTAACCTTGGTACATGAAGAATTACACAAAGCCTTTTTCCTCTTTAACAGTTGACATTTTCCTACTCCCTTTAAGAATTCAATGTTTTGAAAAAGATTATAACAACTCAATTTTTCCATCCCTCCTCTCACTCCCAATATGGGTAATTAAAATTCTATCAAAAATGCGCAGGTAGTATTTTTTTCCCTAATTACTATTGACAAGAATTTGTTGACTCATTTTGCTCTATAATCTCTACTTCAACTCAAGAAAGTTGTCTTCGATCATGTCTTTGGCTCCTCATTATGATCCTCATGTTTTGTTTTTTCCCCCTCTGGAAGCTTGAATATCCTCCATATGGATTCATTTATAATATTTATTGTGTTGTTTGCTTCCTTCCTTAGAGAACCCTTTCACATAATTTAGCATGTTTTTTCTATGGAAAAGACAAAAATTATACTGTCTCTCAAAAGATAGCAAGTTCTTTTTTATTCTTTTTATCTGAGAATGCCAAAAACAGAGGGGTTACAGTTACATAAGTCGGGCAAAGAGTACCTTTCATTTTGGATGTCATCCCTTCCCTCCCAGTTTTTCTCTCTCATTCCACTCACAAGTATGTAGTTCATTTTCAACATGGTATGAGCAAGTACCATTGCTGCATGTTTACTCTTTGTCCCTCCATTCCTGTGCCTCCTCTTACACTCCCAAGAACATACAGATGAACAAACAAGACAATAAGAAAACAAAAGCAGCAAAAAGCAATAACGTCTTGTTTCCATTTCCTACAGTTTATTTCGATAAATATTATTTTGTATGATCAGATACACTTAGGCATTGCAAGCTCTTTGAGAATAAAGGCCATTTTTTTGCGGGGGGGGTCCGGTCATGGAGCCTGAACTCTGGGCGCTGTCCCTCAGCTCTTCAGCTCAAGGCTAGCGCTCTACCACTTGAGCCACAGCGCCATTTCCGGCTTTCTTCTTTTTGCTTATGTGGTGCTGAGGAATTGAACACAGGGCTTCAGGCATGCAAGGCAAGCACGCTACCACTGAGCCACCTTCCCAGCACCTAAAGGCCATTTTTTTATTTCTACTTATTTGATCTAGGAAAATAATATTCATAATTAGTATTTGTTTTCATTAGATGGACTAAGATTATCTGGTAATGTAAGAACATGAACTTACTAGAAAAAATGATGACAAAAATGAAAAAAAATGAAACAAGAAACCTAGAGTTCAGTACATAAAGACAATAATCAAAGTTCACATGTTTATATATGTGAAAGGAAAAAAGGATCATAAATCTAACACATTTATAAACTAATTTAATTGCTACAGGAATTAAGCTACAAAGTATAGTCTGGTGGGGAGATAGAACCAAAAGATCACACACTTGTAGGAAAGGCAGGAGGAAATATCTTAAATAGGAAAAACATGGTTAGCAAAGGCATAGAAGTAAGAAATTTTTGTGATGAGCTTAGTGTACAGGAGAGAGATATTTTAACCCAAAAGTAAGATTATAAAACAACTTTTAAATAGTGTGCTATAAAATACCTGGTTTAGCTTAAAGGCATTGTCTTTCAATGGAAAGGCTTGGATTCAGAGCTCAAATACTGAAAAACATATATTTAGAATGCCAAATAGCTTGCCTACAGAACTGTGAACTAAGTTTTTTCCCCTGTTTTCTGGAAAATGATTTTGAATATTGTTATTACTTTTTTCTCTTCATTTCCCACAGAGTTGCTACCCCATTTGGAGGTTTTGAAAAAGCATCCAAAATGGTCAAATTCAAAGTTCCAGATTTTGAGCTACTACTGCTAACAGATCCCAGGTTCATGGCCTTTGCAAATCCTCTTTCTGGAAGACGGTCCTTTAATAGGACTCCGAAAGGGTGGGTATCTGAGAATATTCCCATTGTGATAACCTCGGAGCCTGCAGAGGAAGCCGCCATGCCAGAATCAGAAGACCTCTGAGAAGGAAGCTGTACACTACACAGAAACCTTTCAATAGAAAAGTTCCTTTTTCACTATCCTGCTTATTGACAGCCACTTACATTCTTCATTAGTAGTGATTATTCAATAGCAATAAAAGAAGTTTCCTTTTTCTGGCATTTGACTTCGATCTCAGTTGAAATACTAAGGAAAATTAAAGTATTAGTTTTAAAACTTATGACTTATTTGTATTCATCTGTAATTTTATTTTCACCTGGTTTAAACAGTCTAGCCTATTTGATGTGCAAATTCAGAGGGATGGAATTTTCATCTTTGGTTCATTTTAATGTTATTCCAGACTAAGTTCTAAAAAAAAAATAGAATGTAGAATCAAAGCACAACATAAACTATATAGACTTTTGAGTTTTATTTAATGGAAAAAGCTATAGAGGATGATGAATAATGTATTGATGGAGATAAGAGTTGGCTGCTTCCTCTCTGGTGGCCAGGACAAAACAGTATGTCTGAATGACATCTTTTCTTTCCTCACAGGCAATTCTGGACAACATTCTAATTCCAGTGCACTATTATATTCAATTAGTATTAAGTCAAGAAAATTATGAGAGAATGACGTAAGGGACCATACACTACTGTAGTTTTAATGATCAGTGTGTCTCAGAATTCAAGTTCTAAAAATCTAATGCAATGCATTTTAGAAAAGAAAAAGTACAAAACAGATGGAATATATATATATATATATATATAAAACAAGGAGCATGAATTTGAATTGGGAGCTTTCATTTGCTGAATATTTCTGCCAAAATCCTTAAATACTAGGAAGTCATATGTGATAGAACATAACCCAAAAACAAAGAACAAAAGGACCTGAAACAAAAGCAATATAGACTATTATGACTTCTCTCCCGCCCCCACCCTGAAGTTATATAATTCATTTCCAACACAGTGTCTAGTTGGTGTCACTGTTAAATTGCTTCACACTTTGTTCCACTGTTTCTGTGCTTCTCTTTTCCCTCCACAAATCAGATAAACATTACAAAATAAAACATACAGAAGTAAAAAACAGGTACAGAAGGGAATAAACTAAAGAAAAAAGGAAAGAAGAAATGAAAAGAAAAAAAGAACCACAAATAGTATAATAAAAAACCTCTTACTTCCAATTTTTGGGGTTCATTTCAATAAGCATTATTTCATATGATTTTATGCATATAGCTATTGAGCCCTTGTGATCCTCTCCTAAGAATATCCTCTTTGTTTTTCACTGTTTAGACTTCTGTTTATCATGTGCAGGTGTAATTATTTGTCTTTTACTACCCAGGGTTTACCTGGAGGTTTATAGGCATATTTTGATGTTTAATTGGAGATAAAAATCTCACAGACCTTCTTGCCCAGGCTGGCTTTGAACATCATTCAGATCTCAGCCTCCTAAGTAGGTAGGATTATAGTCATTAGGTACCAGCACCCAACAAGCATCACTATTTCTGTTGTTTTGGTAGCATGGGAACTAGTGATTATTTTAATCATCTTCAGGATTTGTTAGAGAAAAATCTTAACGTTACAAAAATGTGCCTTCTAGGAAGTAACAAATATATACATATATATATATACATATATATATACATATATATATATACATACATATATATATATATACATATATATATACACACACACACACACACACATATACATACACAACATATTGTATATATTTATACACACACATATATATATACATATATTGTTACCATCCTTGAACTGTACTTATGAGGATCCTATCATATCATATTTTGTTCAGTTTAATCTTTAAAATTTAACTATAAGCCCCTTGCTGGTAGCTCACACCCGTAACCCTCGCTACTCAGGAGGATGAGATCTGAGGATCAGGGTTCAACGTCTGGGTAGGAAAATCTATGAAGCTCTTATCTCCAATAAACTACCCCCCAAAAGCTGGAAGTGGAGCTGTGGCTCAAGTAGTAGAGTGCTAGCTTTGAGCAAAAGAACACCAGGCCCTGAGCTCAAGCCTCAGGACTAGTAAGAAATATAAAACAAATGATTATTTTCTAGTTCATAAGCATGATGATAGGGTCCTCATGTGCTTGCATGACATGTGCCTCCCTAAAAACCTTGTTATGATGTGGGCACATTACTTGTCTGATGTGCAAAGGGAAAGAATGTACAGTAATTATATTCTGTTATCTATTTTGCTGATTTAGCCTGTGTTAGCATTAGAGATGAGTTAATGCTTTTAATAAAATTGACATTTTAATTACAACTCATTTCAAGCTTCAAATCATAGTTAAATCATCTGATCAGTGTTACCACTGAAAGGACAACAATTAAATGTGGTAGCTGTAGGTCAGTATGTTCCAATAAAAGAGCATATAGAATGAGAAAATCTAAAGTGTTTTTTTTAAAGGATTAAGCATAAAATAATGAAACAACACTCTGTTTACTATCTTATTTCTTCCTTTCCTGGAAATGTCCTAATTCAGGCTCAGCTGACTTTTAGAAATGCCAGACTTTCACTCTGGTTGCTACAGAATTGAAAAGGAATTTTGAAAGGGTTTTCCACTGACCTGAAAACCAGCAGAAGTTTACAAAATAGAAGAAATATGATTATTTCTTTTGAAGAACAGAAAGATTGCGGTAGTTTATCCATGTTCACTTTTATTCATGACATGGGAAAATAGGAAGACTTTTTTTAAAAAGCAAATGAATGAAAATAATATTTGTTGATATATTTTTAAATGTCAAGCTTTACACTCATTGTTTCATAAAAGCCTATTTATATATAGGAAATATATTTATATACACATATATATACAGTATTTTCACAATAAAAAACAAATATATACGAACAAGTATATATAGTATTTATACTACATATCTTGTATATAGTATGTAATATATAAATATACAATACATAATACATGTTTATATTATAATTATAATAATGTATGTCTTCCATAATTATCTTGCTAGGGAGGTATTAAAATAATCTAAACTTCATATTACAAAACTGAGGCTCATAGAACTAATGTGACTTGAAATAAGCCTTGCTTCAAAACATACTCTAAATTATAACTCACAGTGATAACTTCTCTTTCAGAAGTAACAGCCTTAAGCTATTACATTTGGACACATAATTGCATTTCATTACATTCAGTTAAATACTATCATTTTATCACATTTAGACAAATAATAAATTTAGATGATAATTTTACTTTGATCAAATACATTATTTTTAAAATAGCCATTATTTTATTTATTTATTTATTTTGGGTCCGGTCATGGGGCCTGAATTCTGGGCCTGGGCACAGTCCCTCAGCTCTTCAGCTCAAGGCTAGCACTCTACCACTTGAGCCACAGGGTCACTTCCGGCTTTTTTCTTTTTGCTTATGTGGTGCTGAGGAATTGAACCCAGGGCCTCATGCATGCAAGGCAAGCGCTCTACCACTGAGCCACCTTCCCAGCCCTAGTCATTATTTTAATACCAGTCAAGTATAGCTGTAAATGAATAATTTCAGTATTGAAAGACATATAGACATAATTATAGAGTTGTTCAGCCTGTGTTAAAGTTGAACTAAGTAAAATAAACAACATGCATATATTTAATTTTGATGGAGAAATAAAAAAATTATATCCCATCTAAAGCCATTAATTTCTGCTTGCTATGGTGTACAATCTGCTTATCTATGTAATATTCCTTTTCATTCTTCTGCAAAAGGGAAAAAAGAAAAAAGGCAAGGAACATTTGAGGGATAAAATTATGCATAATACAAACCTAAAGGAATAATCTAGTATAATATCATGCTAAAATCATTCCTTCAAAACTATTCCTTCAAATGAAAATGCTTATATGCTTTCTCAATTTCTAGTATACTGTTCAAAAGGTATCTGAGTTATGAAATGATACTTAGTTTTATTTTAGACAAGTTGATCTTCTCTCACGGTAGGATGGATAATCAGCCAGCCAACTGTCCTTTAGATAACAATAACTATAGCTGAATTGAGAAATGGTCAATCCAAAGACTATCACTGGCTCTTTTTTTTGGCCATCTTTAACTCAGGGCCTGGGTGCTGTTCCTGAGAGCACTTCTACTCAAGACTAGTTATACTGCTTTGAGCCACAGAGCTACTTCCAGTTTTCTGGAGGTTAATTAGAGATAAGAATCTCACAGGCTTTCCTGTCTAGGCTGGTTTTGAACCATAATCCTCAGATCTCAGCCTCCTGAGTAGCTAGGACTTCAGGCATGAACCACCAGTGTCTGGCTATACTTGGCTTTTAATTCTCTTCTTCCTTAGCTCATTTCTTTTTCTCTCTTTTAAATATTTTTTATTTTAAAGATACTGTACAGAGGGGTCACAGTTACATGAGCAAGGTAATGAGTCCATTTCCAATTTTTGTTTTTCCCCTACCATCTCTTTCCTCCCCACCTCCCCAGCTCCTTAACTCATTTCTTAAAAGTATTTTCCATGTTGCAAATCATTTGAAAGGACCTGTCAATTCAAAGAATCAATTACTGCTTATTACAAAATCAATCCAAATAATACACAATAACTTTTAGTCAAAATGACCAATACACTACATCAATTTAAAATTTTACATCTTCTAAATAGAGTCATTTATAAATGTTTTAGTAACTTGGAAATGGAAGGGGCAAATTATTTTTGCAGATTCCAATATGGAGCATAATGTCCAGTTGTGAGTGTGAAAAGAACATCTTGAACTTTTCAACTCTGGGCACAGCTGTGCCAGCATACTTGTTAATTCTGGAATTTCCTCACTCTGCTGCCTATGCAAGATAAAACTTAGATGACATCATAAGTTTTTCAGCCACAACTGCTTTTTATTAAGCTTAGGAAAGCAATTCTTTGAATACTCCTTTTCTTATATAAAAAAAAAGTACTTCCATTCACTCTGATCTGTAGAAAGAAGAGCATTTATTCACTTATTATGAAAAGGGGAGAAGCACCAGGCTTGCCAAAAGAACAAGCAAGGGAATCTATTCAAAACTAACTGATCAAAGCGCTTTGTAAAAGTTTAAAAGATTTTTTTAATTACCAAGCTTTAAAATATTAAATGAACAGAACAACAATAACAACAAAAAGAAGTAAAGCCATGCAAGACTTTCAAACCCTTAAAAGAAAATGTTAGTTTTGAAGTCTTATTTCAGAGGAAGATACAATCTTACCTTGGGCTTCTAATGTGATTCTAACAGAAAGATTTGGTACCTATGGAAAGAGATTTTTCTTTTTTTTTGTGGGGGGGGGGGGGGTCCGGTCGTGGGGCCTGAACTCTGGGCCTGGGCGCTATCCCTCAGCTCTTCAGCTCAAGGCTAGCACTCTACCACTTGAGCCACCGCACCACTTCCGGCTTTATTCTTTTTGCTTATGTGGTGCTGAGGAATCAAACCAGGGCCTCATGCATGCAAGGCAAGTGCTCTACCACTGAGCCACCTTCCCAGCCCTAGAAAGAGAAATTTTTTTAAAGGCTCTTTTAAGATTTTGTATGTCAGATCCAAATAAGAACGTGTTTATTAATCTGAACAGTGCAGTATTTTGAAACACATTCAATACTAACTTAGGGAATGGAGATGTTTCAGGAAATAGGATCATGAAAAGTTAGAAGGAAATAAAAAAGATAAATTCAATGTCATTCACTTCTTTAAAACTGCTGACTGAAGAATTTGCATAGAAACTGCAATTCACTAGAGAAATAAATATAAAAGAAGAACTGGGAGAAATTAAAGCTGGAATGAAGCTGGATGAGAGGAAATACAACCTCAGCTATCCAAAGGCTAATTGTCTCATTTTACGGTTTATGAAGCCTTTTTCCTCCCTGGGGACCAATTTTTTCCACATATTTGCAATGATTTGTGTAATGTGGATTGTAATACAAATATATATTCCCATTACATTTGCTTTATCTCTATCTCAAATAATATGTAAAAGCAGTTGTAAGTAAAAGTGTCAGCTCTGGAGTGAGAAATTTACAAGTCAAGCCAATCCATTATATTTTCTTAAAGCAATTTAATTTTGCTTTGTAAATCAGACAGCAACATGGCTCAAATGGCATTTCCTCATTTCCTGACCATTCTTATTTAAGAGAACACAGCACATTTCTAATCTAGTATTGTGATTGTGCTTTTACTTTTGCTTTACACCATGTATTACTCCACTACTTATGTCAGGCCGGGTGCTCTGAGAAGAAGCAGATGCAAAGATAGAACTAAATGAGCAAGAGAAATAGAAAGTCCAGAAAACCTGGGAGAGGAGTCCTCAAGTGGAAGTGCATAGATGTATTCTAGATACTCCTGCTAGCTCAGGGAGACTTAGCAAGTCTGTTGACTTGCTAAAACAAACAAAGCCACCTGTGTTGGAGGGAGTTTGGATTGGTCAGCAAAAATCTGATTCAGTATCACTGTGTAGGTCAGCCATTGGCTGGAAGCCCATTCTAGTTTTGGTACCTATTTAGAACATAAAGCAATGTGTATATAAATCATATTTGTTTCAGAAATATATTCCTTACTTCTAGTATATAGAAAGAGATGCAAACATGGTATCCATCAGTTTTATCTCAATGTCAGAAAATCTGTTTAAAACTTTGAAGTATCAAAATCTTTGGCACTATATTAAAATACATATTAAAATTATTGTGACAAAGAAATATGATCTTGTTTTATGATACACATATGTATGTTTGTGTAAGTTCTGGTTAATGATTGTATTAGTATATTTGCCTGTGCTATACTCTGATACTAAAGTGTTCTCTTGTTAGCCTGCAACAGGATGTAACTATTTCAGGTGGAGTATAATAAACAAATAAGCTATTATCTTGCTTGAGACAATACCACAGTACTAAGATAATAAGCATAATGAAACTTTTTTTGGTTTAAGTAAATAATTACTTGCTCACAATCACAGAACTTAGGAATTAGATATATCTGAAAATATTCTAGATCAATCTCCTCATGTTCAGAAAGGAAATGAGATCAAAGAAGCTAAGCTGAAACAGATATTACATATTTATTTTATTTTATTTTTGCCAGTCCTGGAGCTTGAACTCAGGGCCTGAGCATTTTGCTCTACCACTTGAGCCACAGCACCACTTCTAGCTTTTTCTGCTTATGTGGTTCTGAGTAATTGAACCCAGG